ATAAAATTGTCTGTCAATATGGCCATACATATCATATCGGTAACATATCCGTTCTATTTGTTTGTGGGGGGAGACATCACTCCTAGAGTCCTTTATTCTCTTCTCCCTGTAAGCAGGTTGCTTGCTGCACAGCTGTTGGCCCTCCTTTGTTATTCTGGGGATTTCCTTCATTTTTCTCTTCTGTTAGATCTGTTTTCCTTGATTCAGTCTTCCTCTCTCTTGTTTCCCCCCCTCTAGCTTTACTAAGGCATAATTGTGTCTTCCTCTTTCTTGATTTACTTTCTAATTTTGGTGGTGCACATCCTCCAATAGCTTTGATGAAGGGTACTTGAGAGGTAAATTTGTTGAGAACTTGATTGTCTGAAAACGTTCTTATTCTCCCCTCATGCTTAATTGATAGTATGGCTGGGTATAGTTTCTAGTGCCATAGACTGAATGTTGGTATCCTCCCAAAATTCATATGTTGAAACTTAATCCACAGTGTGATGGTATTTGGAGGTGGACATTTCCTGCCCTGCTTGGGAGCCAGAGGTGTGGAAGACCTCCTGGTGTGCACAATAAATCTCTTCATGTCTTCTTGGCATGCATCTGGTGTCGTCATTATTGACATTTGAACCTATTCTTCATCTGCAGAGTGACCACAACACAACTCCACCACTTACTAGCTGAATGTTCTTGGGTAAATTACATAATCTTTTTCCACCTGTTTTCTGTTTGTTAAATGAGGATAATAACAGCAATTATGCTGTTGTATTAAAGATTAAATAGATTAATACACATTAAGTGCTTAAAGCAGTACCTGACACATAGCAGAAATTCAATAAGTGTTATTACTGGTGTGAACTTTTTTTATTCAAAGTTTTAGGCACTTGAGTTCTTCCAATTAGACTCAGGTTAATTCATTTCTGAGACATATTTTTGGTATTTAATGTATCCTTCCCTCTGTTCTCTACTTCTAGAACATTTCTCACACATTGTGTCCTATTTTCTATCAAATTTCCTTTTTTTAAAAAAAATATTTTATTGATTTTTCACAGAGAAGAAGCGAGAGGGACAGAGAGCTAGAAACATCGATGAGAGAGATTGATCAGCTGCCTCCTGCACGCCCCCTACTGGGGATGTGCCCGCAACCAAGGTACATGCCCTTGACCGGAATCCAACCTAGGACCCTTCAGTCCGCAGGCCAACGCTCTATCCACTGAGCCAAACCGGTTCGGCTCAAATTTCCTTTTTATTTTGCTTTATGGGACATCTTCTCAACTTTATCTTCCAGCTCTTTTGTGGCCTTTATATTTATTCTCTTTTTAATTAATAGTAGAATCCCTGTTTTTTAGCTAGACATTTCTCTGAAGAAGATATACAAATGTCCAATAAGCACATGAAAAGATGCTCAACTTCACTAATAATTAAGACAGTGCAAACCAAAACCACAATGAGATACTATTTTACACTCATTAGAATAGCTATTGTTTTAAAAAAAAACACAGAAAGTAAGTGTTTGTGAGGATGTGGTAAAATCGGAACACTTGTACACTATTGGTGGGAATGTAAAATATGCAGCTGCTGTGGAAAAGAGTATGGCTGATCCTCCAAAAGTTAAACATGAAATTACCATATGATACAGCAATTCTGCTTCTGGGTATATACCCAAAAGAACTAAAAGCAGGGATCTGAACAGATCATTTGTACACCAATGTTCATAGCAGCGTTAATCACATAGTCAAATTCCATTAATGGATGAATGGTTAAACAAAAGGTGGTATATACATATGCATATACTCTTCAGTATATATAAATAGTATGGAAAATTATTCAGCTTTAAAAGAAAATGAAGACCTAGTAAAAGAAACGAGTCATAATGGACAAATATTATATAATTCTGCTTATGAGTAGTCAAATTAGTAGAGACAGAAAGTAGAATGGTGATTTCTAGATAATGGGGGGGAAAGGACATGGCGAGTTATTGTTTAACTAGAGGCCCAGTGCACGAAATTCATGCACGGGGCCCCTGTGTGTGTGTGTGTGTCCCTCAGCCCAGCCTGCACCATCTCCAATCTGGGATCGGGCCTAAATGGGCAGTCGGACATCCCTCTCATGATCCAGGACTGCTGGCTCCCAACTGCTCGCCTGCCTGCCTGATTGCCTCTAACTGCTTCTGCCTGCCAGCCTGATCACCCCCTAACCACTCCCCTGTCAGCCTGATCAATGCCTAACTGCTCCCCTGCTGGCCTGATTGCCCCTAACTGTCCTCCCCTGCAGGCCTGGCCACCCCAACTGCCCTCCCCTGCAGGCCTGGTCCCCCCCAACTACTCTCCCCTGCAGGCCTTGTCCCTCCCAACTGCCCTCCCCTGCCAGCCCAGTTGCCCCCAACTGCCCTCCCGTGCAGGCCTGGTCGCTCCCAGCTGCTCTTCCCTGCAGGCCTGGTTGCTCCCAACTGCCCTCCCCTGCAGGCTTGGGTCCCCCCAAACTGCCCTCCCCTGCAGGCCTGGGTCCCCCCCAACTGCCCTCCCCTGCTAGCCTGGATCCCCCCCCCCCAAATGCCCTCTCCTGCAGGCCTGATCTCCCCCAATTGCCCTCCCTTGCAGGCCTGGTCCCTCCCAACTGCCTCCCCTGCTGGCCATCTTGTGGCGGCCATTTTGTGTCCACATGGGGGCGGCAATCTTGTGTGTTGGAGTGGTGGTCAATTTGCATATTACTCTTTTATTAGATAGGATGAGTACAGAATTTCAGTTTGGGATAATGAAAATGTTCTGGAGATGGAAGTGGCGATGGTTGCACAACAATGTGAATGTTCTTGTGAACTCTGATGAACTGCATACTTAAAAATGATAAAAATAATAAAATACATGTTATGTGTATTTTACCACAATAAAAATTAAGAGATACTCTTCAAGGATGAAAATTTATCACCATGACAGCAATAGGATGTGGGGAAGGGTTGACAGACTCCTCTTGTCTCCCTCTCTCCAACTGACACCATCCCCTACAGCTTCATAACTGGTCATTGTCTCCTATCTTGGCCTTTGGATGCTTATTTATTCTGAGTATTACTACCAAATATCCACCTGGCTATTTCCCTCCTGTCTTTTTTGGCTTCCCTAGTTTCTGGTAAGAAGTCTGCTGTATTTCCTTTCTTGTCCCCCCATGTATGTAATATACCTTTTTTCGTCTGTTTTTAAGATTTTCTCTTTATCATTGGTGATATCCAGTAATGAATTTATAAGAGACAGTGTTAGTGGTAGGGAGGGAAATGACAGGTCCCCACCAACCACATCTCATTGCTATCCTGTAATAAATCTTCATCATTGAAGAGTATTTCTGGTTGTGAAAGGATACCGTATGGACCTGAAGACCCTGTTTTTCAAAGCTATGAGGTAATGTAAGCGATAGCGCACCATACACCGAAAGGCCACCTTTGGAAAAGAAGCAGTGGAGGGTATGGGGAAGTTATCTTGAAGACAGTTTGTTGTTTTTTCTAAAAGAGATGTGTTTTGCCTGGCTGGTGTTGCTCAGCGGTTGAGCATCAACCCATGAACCAGGAAGTCAGCGTTTGATTCCCGGTCTGGGCACATGCCTGGGTTGTGAGGTGTGAAGTAGGGGTTGTGCAGGAGGCAGCCAATCAATGATTCTCATCATTGATGTTCCTCTCTCTCCCTTTCCTTTCCTCTCCCTGAAATCAATAAAAATATAAAAAATAAGAGTTGTGTTTCTTATAGGACCCATTTAAATTATCTAATCAGATAAAGCTTAAAACAAGAGCAGGCAATCCTGAAAGGATCTATACTTAATAACACACGTTGGAAATCTATGAAGCAATGTGACTAGTGCAATGTCCTGGCCCTGCTTATCAATCACCTTCCCACTCTTCACATTATTCACATCTCTATCCAGTGCTCCTTCCTCAAACAGCTCTTAAACTAATCATTCTACCCCAAATAGCCATTTCCTCAAACATTCTTTACCTTGCTTTATTTTTCTTTGTAATAATCACAAGATGACATTTTATCACTTATTGGTTACTTGTTTATCATCAGTTTCCTCCACTAGAGAATAAGTACCATCTTCATTGTTTTATTCACATCAATTACTCAGAGCACAGATCAGAGCATATGCTCAATAATACTTGTTGATTGAATGAATTTAGTTATGCATGGATTTACTTTATATTATTTATATGAAGCACATATTTAACATCTGTTGCACTATTATGTTATTTAATCTGACATTAACTATCGTTTTCATTTTTATCAATTATTCACTCATGGTGCAATCACTTACCGAACCTCTACTTGGTGTTATGTATATAGTTAGCATGCGAGGTGGGGAGACACCAAAAAAGGTATAAAGTAAGACGTCCATAAAGAAGTCCCCACTTCCTGATGAATAAACTAGAAGTCCTTAGCAAGCAAAGATTGGACACCTTAAATCCAAGGGGGAAATAAGATTGTATGTTTTTAAAAACACTCCAGCAGTTAGGTTTGTTTCTATAAATGCTGCCTTCCACTCCCTCAAACAGCCCAACTCCCCAATTTTCCGCCAGAGCCATCTCCTATCCCGCCTTACTCAAAGCTCCTTCCCTGGAAACTGACAGCTGGGGAAACCCCACTGAGGCCCGCCCCTCCTGTTATCCTGAGTGGCGCAACCTGTGGGAGGGCCTGCGGGACCGACCAATGGGATGAAGCGGGAGCAGGAGCCTGGGTCAACAAACGCAGAGGTGCTGCTCCCGCGGCTCCTCCCCGCCAGACGCCCAACGCTTTGGCCCGATGCCTATCCAGGACGGAAAGAAACGAGGGAGCAAAGAGACAGATGTTAATACCAATCAGAAGCTGGTACTTCGGAGGGAGTGGGCGGGAACTACTTCACATTTAAGCCAATAAGCATCACACGTGTCCTGTTAGGTGACTGAGCGGCATCCTCTTCGGCCCAATAGATGAATAGGGCGGTGCCCAGCAACCAATAGCTTGGGTTCGGGGGCGGGGTGAGGAGTCAGTGCGCTTTAAGAGGCCACCTGGCGAGTGGTGGGGCGCTCCTCGGCGCTGTGGCTCACGCTCCGGTTCGGGAGGCCGAAGCTGTTCTGGCGGCGGCGACCTCTGAGGCTATCGGAAGAGCCAGCGCGTGGGGTCTGAAGGAGGGGCTTCTGGTCAGCTCAGGTGGGCTCGGGCGCCCGGGCTGCTGGGGCGGGGACCCGCGGGAAGCGCCGCTCTCCAGGTTTCGGGGGCGCCCTGCGCCTCCCTCTCCGCCGCCCTCGGGCTGTGAGGGGCGGCGCGCGCCTGCCCGAGCTCCGGCGGGGAGGGCAAACCGGCAGGTCCCACGTCGCGTCAACTGCGGTGCCCCTTAGCCCCTTGGAGGCGCGGGGGTTCTTCGTCGTTTTTTTCCTGCAAAGGCGCCCTCTCCATCTCCCACCCCCAACTTCCCTGGGCCCCCGCAACCCCCCGCTCACACGGGGACTGACGTCTCTGGCTTGCGAGTCCCTTTCCTCCGAGGCACACGAAGCAGCGCGGCATCCCTTGTCCCCTTCCCCGGGCGGGAAGGCGGGGAGATGCGCATCGAGGCTCCTCCCCCATGCGCGGCCCCCGTGCGGGTGTTGCGTTCCCTCTTCTGCTCCCACCACCCCTTTTACTCCCGCCCCCGTTCTTGATCCCCGAGTTGCGTTAGGGACCTTGGCCGCCTCTCTTCTGCCTTCCCCGCCGCGAGTGAGTCCTTCACCCTCCTCCCACCCTCTAGATTTCACCCCCGTCTCTCATGGAAACTAACATTTTCCGCTGGTCCCTTCCAGGCAGCTGGAAGGTGAGCACCGGAGAAGCAGACGACACTGTCCAGGGAAACTTCACAGAGGGAACTTGAATCGGTTCTGTTAAAGGTAAGCCATTCTTGTCTTACTTACAAATAGCTTTGGGTCGTTAATGTCCTCTCTAGAATCTTCCTCCCAATACGGTTGTTTGGGTGATCATTTCTGAAAACGCAGGAGAGAAGGATTTACCGGCAGCGAGAAATTTAAAATGTGTTATTATTATTATTTTTTTTAAGTAGAGAGAATTGGATTGCATTTTAAACAGCTTAACTGGGGTGGCAGAGAGTTTGCAGTGCGAGGGCCTGACCACTCTAGTTGATCGTAAATTATAGAACTTACTTGAGCACAGTGTGCTTTGATCACGCCCACCCTATGGATGATAATAGCGTTGAAACTGTTTTTAAAATAACATTCTCTATTCCACTTTCACGAGAATTTGTATTCACCTTCATAGTGTATCCTTTTGGGTTTCAATAGTGTTGATTGTAGCCATATGTTCTAGATGATAGTACAAACTACTAGTATGTTGTGCCTAAATAAAATTATGCTAAGTATTTTATGGGGGAAAAGTAACTCACCACACTTAGATTTGATTGAGACTTTAGAGTTTTAAAAATACTAACCTAGGTATTGCAGGGTTTTGTTTTGGGAGATGCAGGAAATTGAAGTGCTTGGAAAAGTCTGATGGCACCTTGGGCTGTGCATGTCTGAGAGAGAGTGCATGTGGAAGAGAGAAAATACACGTGTACAAAACCTTGCAGATTCTAACCGTGCTTAGTGTCATGGCTTCACATAAATTGGAATTGTTTTTCCTAGTTCTCAGTGGTGACTGTAAGCAGTGAATTTAATCATGTCCACACTGTTTTGGTCAGAACTTGGCACGTTTTTGTGAAAAATTCTTACTGTTTTTCTTACTCTATTTGTAACATCTGTATCAGTGTGCTTCCCTGTATTTTGCTATGGTAAGACTGTATCTTGTATGTAGAGAAGGAAGTCTAGTAGAGTGAGTTAAAAGGGATCTTTACTATGAAGAGGCATCATTGTTTGATGGACCATATGTTTGAGCCCTATTAATAAATCGCACTAAAAAGAGGAAGATCTTAAAGCTATTTCAACAAATGCCCAGGTGTTTAGAACAATAAAAAGAATTTCTGACAGAATTACTAGCAGTCAAAAAAGAAACGTCCTGGACAAATAACAAGCTTATGGGTGGGTCGCTATTGTGAGTTAGTATATAAGGCTGCAGTTGAAAACCAAAGTTATATTTGTCCTGTCTTTTCATGTGGATTTGTACTTATAAATTACTTGTTTGCAGATTTAAGGGACTATAGTTATGTAGTTATGATTTCTTCGTAGAGGTCTTGCCTTTAAGGAGTTCACAATTTAATGGAAGACCTGTACGCTAAGAATGAAAGGTAGAGGAAGTGCTGCAGGACAGGATGTGAACAGGACCCGGACAAGCACTGTGGCCCCTGCCACGTCCACTGCTCTGGACGTGCTGAAGTGCCGTTTTCCTGGACCTCATGTTTATTTCACACACCTTGGCTTCTCTCTGTAGGCGCTGTTCTCTCCTCTGGAAGGCCTTTTCCACAGTCTCTGTGCCTGATGAGGTTCTATTTTAGAATCTTCTTGAAGTTTGCCACTGACCTCTACTCCATCCAAATAATTGTTTTTTAATCTCTTTCTGTTCGTTTGTTATAAATAATGACGGTAGATTCACATTATTCACAGTGATTATGGTCTATAAAGTCACCTAGGTCACTAAATTAGCAAATAATGAACCATTGTTCTCGGGGAAAATAATCTTAAATACTAAATACAACTCATCCTGGTAGATTCTGTTTTCTTATTTTTACTCTTTTTTTTTAAATTTTTTTTTTTTTATGTTTTCTTATTTTTAAAAAGAGAAAATGAGGTTCAGAAGTGTTAAGTGACTTCCCTGAGGCCACCCCCTAACAGGTGGCAGAGTTAGGATTCAAACCCTGTCCTACTGGCTCCCGGCAAAGCTCCTTGCACTGCACTGCCCCCTACCGTCTGTGTCCTTTAGTCATCTCAGTATGAGAGCTGAAAGAAGGCAGAGAGCACTGCCTGTTCTGCCGTAGCTGGAAATTTTTGCCATTCTGTGCATGTCTGTAAATGACCGAGAAAGTGCCATTGATTTTAGGATTACAAATAAATTTTAGCAAGTAGGTGAATTCTTAAATATAGGATCCACAAATAATGAGGATCAACTGTACTTGAAAATGATCCCTGGAGTCTCCTTCCTGTTAGCCCTCCTCCCTAAGTCCCCCCTCCCCCCTGTCCACTGTAGATTCCTTAGCTTCTTTGAGAGTTCATTCACTTATTCTTTTATTCAACAGTTTTTTATTAAGCATTTACTGTAAGTCAGGGTCTGGTCTAGACTGTGAATAAACTAGAGATGAAGCTCCTGCCCTTATAGGTGTGTTATTTAAGTAAGAGGGACAGATAGCTAGCAGTCTGGAGCTCAGGGGAGAGGTCCAGGTTGGAATTATAGATTAACTTGACCACAGTGAAACCTGTTGTGCCCCCTCCCACTTCACATCCCTTAGAATACTGACTGACAGGACATTTCTGTTCTACTCTGTGCATAACACTTCCTTTTGAGCCAAGCCACGTCCTAGATTATTTCCTCCTCCAAGTTCAATCTGTCCTTAGTTAGGACTCTGAGTCCTGGTCCAGTCTTTTATGGTCAAAGAAGTAGGATTGGCCCAGTCAGTGTGGTTTAGTGGTTGAGCATCAACCTGTGAACCCGAAGGTCACGGTTCAATTCCCAGTCAGGTCACATGCCCGGGTTTCAGGCTGGAACCCCAGTGGGGGGAGTGCAGGAGGAAGCCGATTGATGATTCTATATCATCATTGATGTTTCTTTCTATCTCCCCTTCTCCCTTCCTTTTTGAAAACAATAAAATTATATCTTAAAAAATAAAAAGAAGAAGTAGGATTGGTTTCATGCATTATCTGTCCCACAGATTATAGAATATACAAAAGAACCCCTTGGAGACAGTTTCTTCAGAAGACAGTTAAGACTATAGGAGTCCTTAGAGTTTCTTGAATGTCTGTCCAATTCAAATACCTATCACGTGATCATAGATAATGTTCAATAAAGCACCTAACAAAGTAACTGACACATGCCACAGTATTCCATAAATCTTCCTTCTGGTGTTGCATGTAATATAGTGCAGTTATTTGTTCATATGGCTGTCTTCCTTCCTAGACTGAGCTCTAGGAGGCAGGATCCACATCTTCATTCTTCTATCCTTGGCACTTAGTTCAGTGCCTGTTATATAGTAATAGAGGCACAAGTGTATGACTTGAGGAATTTCTAACTCTTTCTGAAAGGATGGGAATATATGAAGGTTTCCTAGAGAAGGTAGTTCGTAAGCTCTTTCATAAAGGATAAATAGGAATGTCTTCCAAGTGAATAAAAGTTGAGACAGCATGCTAAGTACGGACCAGCATGTGCAAAGGCACAGAGATATGAAAAGATAATAAGGTTGGTTACTGAACATTCCTAGTTGATTAAAAAAAACAAAACACGAAAAGCAGCAAACGGAAATCACTTGAGGAAATAACTATGAATGGGCTTAGCTAGAGGGCATGTCACAACTGAGTTAACCATGACCGCAGCTGCTCAGCTATGAATGTAAGTTTTAGGGAGAAACTTTCTCAAGTAGTTGGCAGGGTATCAGTAACAGTTTAGGAATACAAGTATTGAATTCTGGGAACTATTACACTGCAGTGAAATTATTTACTTCATCATGAAACTTACATGTGTTCTATACTTTTCAGGGTTCTCAAAATATAATCAAACTTTATTCTGAAAGAGCTCACAAGCTAACAAGGAGAAAGATGGATGAACTGATTTATCATATGATAAGTGAGGTAATCTATAGATATAAAAGGCTAATATGCAAAGTGTCCCCTCGGGAGTTTAACCAGGAGACCAGGAGTTTGATCGTTTGCTATGATGTGTGCTGACCACCAGGGGGTGGCGCGGAACATGGCAAACCACCAGCAGCAGCGGGGGAGTGCTGAGGGAGCAAGGGAAGGAGGAGGCAGGGAGGTGGAGAGCAGGTAACCTGATTGGCATTGATCGCAGGCCAGGCCTAGGGACCCTACCCGTGCATGAATTTCATGCACTGGGCTTCTAGTATATGAATAAAATGCTGTCTAAATAAGGAAAAAGGAATAGTAATATAGGAAGTGCTGGGGGAAAATTCTTCAAATGAGGTGATAATTGAGCTAGGCATTGGTAGGTGAAGAGGAAGGAGTTCACTAAACTGAAATTAGGGATTCTTTAAAGAATTAATATTTTGTGGTAGGAGAGCTTTAAGAATTACCCATTTTTGCTATCTGTTGTGGGTTTTACTTAATAGTTACACTTATTCAAACAGTTTTTATAAACACAAAATGTGAATAGTTATAATAGAAGAATTTTGTGTCAAAATAAACTTGTTTAACCAAAGGTTTCTGTAATGCTGGACTTCTCTAGAGCCTTTATTATATTATTGTCATGGTGAGTTGTGGATCTCCAAAAGGGGTACATTACATTTACCCATGGCTTCTCCTCCCTCCTCCTACCTCTCCCACCCCTGTAGCATACCTAAACATCTTTTTGAACAGTATTATATGAGACACTAGAGCAGTGATGGCGAACCTTTTGAGCTCAGCGTGTCAGCATTTTGAAAAACCCTAACTTAACTCTGGTACTGTGTCACGTATAGAAATTTTTTGATATTTGCAACCATAGTAAAACAAAGGCTTATATTTTTTATATTTATTTTACATATTTAAATGCCATTTAACAAAGAAAAATCAACCAAAAAAATGAGTTCGCGTGTCACCTCTGACACGCGCGTCATAGGTTTGCCATCACTGCACTAGAGGCCCAGTGCACGAATTCATGCACCAGTGGTGTCCCTCAGCCTGGTCTGCAGGGTTGGGTCGAAATCGGCTCTTCGACATCCCCCGAGGGGTCCCAGATTGCGAGAGGGCACAGGCCAGGTCGGAGGACCCCACTGGTGCACAATTGGGGCTGGGGAGGGATG